CCCGAAGTTAACGCGCGACTATCGCGACAGCAGCGGCGTGCTTAATAATCGAACGCAGCCCGGCGACGATGTGTGGTCGCCGCGATGCACATGCACACGAGAGCGCGTTGCACAAGTGAAAGAGAGCTCCGAGAGCCACTACGGACGTTTACTCGAAATGTCAAGGATGCAACCACGTGCGTGCGTGCGAGCGAGCGAGCGAGAGACAGAGGGAAGGAGAGAGAGAGAGAGACAGAGAGAGAGAGAGAGAGAGAGAGAGAGGGAGGGAGGTAGGGGGAAGGAGGGACGGAGAGAGAAATACACGATGGAGGGAGATCGAAGAAGCGGATGAAGAAAGAAAACGGCCGAGAAACAATGACGGCCGCGAGCTAGGCTGGAATTGTTATTTTGTCACGCATGGCTCTCTCCGCGGCCACGTTTACGTTTACGTGCGCATTCATCTCGCGCGGGATGAAAAGTGGCCGTGTCTAAATGTTTCTGGAACCGCACGGCACGGTAGGCGCCTTTCCGCGGGGATGCTTTCACTCGCGTGGAATCGCGCGAGATGCGCTTTCAAGGTTGCTGCCGCGACGACGATGGCGGCCAGGAGGAGCCGCCGCCGCCGCCGCCGCCACCACTGCGTTGTGGTATCGCGATCTTGCTTTGTAACGCGCGACAGGTGTCTTTATGTCCCTCCCTCTCTCTCTCTCTCTCTCGCTCTCTCTCCTACGGTTGTTATCTGCGGAGAATGATGATTCTCGTTATCTGTACAGAGACAAGAAACGCGATCAGCAACTACCGGTGTATTGTGGTCTTATCTGACATCAATTGTAGGCTCGATAGATATTTAATTATGTCTATCGTGTAAACACACTCGGGGCCTCCCCTACGTTCGAGCGGCGAAAAACGACGCAATCGTTTTCTCTCTCTCTCTCTCTCTCTCTCTCTCTCTTTCTCTTTTTCCCTTTTCGCTCTCTCGTTCTCGATGGGATTGCTGCGTCAAATGATAACGTATCTCGGCAAGCAGCGGATGAGCGACGACGCGCGGCGAGCGGAACGAAGAGCGCGTGCAGAGCGTGTCCCGGTAGCGGACATGACGACGACGACGACGACGACGACGACGACGACGACGACGACGACGACGGACGACGACGACGACGACGACGACGACGACGACGTCTTTATCGATGAGGACCGTTCTTCGAAATCGCGGTCGCAGCAGATAAAAAATAATGGCGCGTATACACGTCCAGTCGCGAGACAGGCAGTCTGCCGGGAGCGCATGATAACGCACGTTCTCCGAGCGAAGATACCGACATATATTTGTCGAGCTCGCTTATTCGTTCGCCCCGTCTGCGTGACGCCTCTTCCTTCTCTTTCCCTCTCGCTCTGTCTGTCTGTCTGTCTGTCTGTCTGTCGCTGCGATTGTCGACTGTTGCGTATTACAGCGTGACCGACGAGGCAACGCGCGCTCGCAACTCCGTGCATAACAGACGTAACGCTCGCGTCGAAGAAATTGCGGCCTACTGCGAGATGAGACAACTACTCTCCGTGTATCGCACTCTCGCGTCTCGCGACGTGACGAGGGGGGAACATTTGGCCACGTGGCTTTGAACGTCGAAGTCTCATCTGCTGCGAAGTTCACGCAAGTTTCCTCGCGGTAAAAAGCTACTTGCGATTACCCACCCCACATGTGTTGTAAATTTAAATCACGTGCGATGGCGCAATTCTGATCAAATTTTACATTACACACTACTCGAAGCAGGAGTTATATTGATTGAATCGCAGCAAATAATTCCATATCTTGATTTCAATATAATAACAAACTAAAGCGTTTATATCTGTATCTTCTAATGATTCAGAGTAAATATAAAAGAGAGAAATATACAGTATATCTTAAAGATTCTGTTGTGTAATACGGTCATTGAAAGACACGATCTCCCGATTATTTCGAGCAATGTGTGAAAAAAGTATAATTAAATCGCATTGATTTGCTCGAGATATTGCAAATACCCATCACCATAAAAATGTCTTTTCTTCTCTGACTCACCGATACACAGTAGACAGAGTCAGTCACGTTCTGCTGCGGATCTGTAACAAAGAATATAGTTTCGTTAGTTAAACCGTGAGGTTAAAAGTTAGGTTAGGTTAAGTTCGCGGGAACGCGCGCATACAAACGTTGGCCCTTTGCCATTGTAATTCAACGGCTTTTATTCCAATCGCGCTCGGTTTTCGATCGCAATGAATCAAGAAGAAGTGTTACAAACAAACGATGAACCTCACCTTCAAGCTGACTCTGCTCGGCCCGAACCGGATCCTCCGGTGCGGCATCGGCGTCCGTCGAAACTGCGTCCCGGTAACCGGCATCTATCGCGTGGCCACAAACTCCAGCGGATCTGTAACAATAAACGAGTTTCTTCATTAGTATTACAGCGACAAATACGCCCCGCATCAAGAATACAAAGACTCGAGACTACAAATTAGCTTCTTCAACTTAACCAAGTTCACTAATAAAAGTTTACCTTTGAAGACCATGAAACACTGCTATTGCTCCAGATGCTCCAGATCGTCATGCGCACACACACACACACGCACGAATATTACACGTTACACGCGCGCATATACTGTGGTCGAGCGTGAAAATTCGGAAATTATTACGCGCGGCGATCCGCCGATCCGTCCGCCGCCGCGGCGTAAACAATAATGGAAGCGGTCGTGGCAGTTGCGTACTTATGAACATGTTGTTTTCAAAATCGCGCGACCTTGTCCCGCCGGGACAAAGCGTCTTAGAGAGCCCGTAACGTTGCATAAAATTTACCTTTTAAAAAAAAAGAAGGTAAAAAGAAGCGGCAAGTACACGCGCAACACGTATTGTGTTATTTTTAGAAATTGAAAATTATTTTTTTTTCAAGTTATATACGTAACGTAAAATTTTACAAGTAAAATTTATAACTATAGTAAAACTCTACAACACTACTTTGCAAAAGAAATGATATAAACGGCAATGTTTACGCTTTAAGTACTGTGCGTCGTACCGCATCTGAGCGTGTATCTTTGGGCAATATAATTTATTATTTTCGTTATACAAGTAATAAGTTTGTACAAGTAAAACTTATATCTCTAACAATACATTCTTCTATTGAATACTATAAATAAAACTCTACAAAACTGTTCTACAAAAAAAATGATATAACAATAAAATAGCATCAACTGAAAAACTCTACTCAACATCAACTCTGCAAATGAGAGCGATTTGCAATCTGAAGATAAATGTATCGAAAACTCCCAATGATACGCAGTCCGGTACTTCAAAAACAGTGTCTTCATTATTTACTAGAACACTGAGTTTTATGCTTATTTTACTTGTTATTATAATAAATTAGTTATTATAACAATGCAATAAAAAAGATTTAATGCAAAAAATCTTGGCTTCTCTCGCTCTCGCTCTCTTTCTCTTTCTCGCACATTTCTACTCTTGTATTCTAGCAATATTCTTCTCTCTCTTACTCTCTATCGCTCGCTCACTCGCACTCACTGCTTCTTCAGCGCGCTCGTAACGTCTCTCGTGTCGGAAAAGTGAGATGCACAAATCCCCTCTCCTCTGCGGTCTAACGTTTCTTACTTTTTTACTGAATCGAAATTTTCCGTGATTTGGACTTTATTTTAAAATATCTACATTTAGAGACAACGTATACAAAAAACACAAAGACACTTTTCTTCCTATTTTTTAAGGCCGAATCGATTGGCACTGAAAAAACCTCGATCGGTTTAGCCATTGCTGAAATATAAATATCTCACCTCGTTTCAACTCGCAGTTTCGCGTAATATAGCCACGGTGTGCCTCTTAATGTAATTTCTATCTCAATTTAAAGCGATCATTGCTTAACAAAGTCGTTCTTATAGTGTTCGATGTCTGTGTTAATTCGCTCAGAATGTGACACTGTTAAATATTACTCGAACATTTCAATATTAAATTCTTCGAATAAAACACGAGTGTTTTTTTTTTTAAGAAGAAAAAGATATTTTTTACCTCCCGACACTTTCTATTTGCGCGTTCGCGTGTATTTCGGGGTCTATTGCAACGGCGTAGCGAATATAGCACGTGATTACGATACGTGAATAGGTGTCTTAACAAGAGCATGAGGGCGCGAAATACCGAGGAGATTGGCGCTTGTTTCGCGTTTCTACGTCGATTTTTCGACGAGTTACGGGCGTCCGAAGCGTTCGGGCTTTTTTCTGTGCGACATGCAACATTGTCGCCGGGTCCCAGTTTTTATCAAACGATTCGCCGCTCGTCGATATCTTCATATAAAAAAGTCGTAGCGACACAGAGCAAAGTGCATTCGAAAGCGGACTGTCCCGCTACCGACGAAAAGGTGCCCCAGTTTTTCCATCATGTCGACTAATTGCGCGATACTTATACGCTATTAAATCTGATTCTCTAAATCTTTCAATCTTATATGTTTAAATCTAAAGATCCTTTAGAATTCCACTTTGTCAATCGAAATCTCTTTCGTCAATCGAGACTTTCGGTTGGAAATAAACGAACGATGGGAACAATGAGAACGATGATAACGAATGAGAATTTCGACACTGGACGAACAAAGTATGTGAGACGAGTTGTGTCGCAAAAAATATAATTTCCTTTCCCGATTATATTAACAGTACAAAAGCGAGCTGTTCAACTTACTTTTTCGTTAAATATTTCTAAAATATGAATATATAAAGACTTATAAATCTTGAATTAACTCACTTTGAACTTTCTTTTTAATCTTTAAATCTACTTTTCAAATGTCAATTCCTCAATCCACATTTTCTCGATCCAATTGTTCGGTCAAAAATCAATCATTTCTTCCAGGCGTGTCGTAACGAATCGCAAAACTGCGACTTGTTATGTTATTGAAAAAGACTTGCGATAAGCGATAACAGCTAGATAACACATACAGAGAATATCAATATAAGAATATGTCGCGCAGCAAAAGTGAGGAGTCTTGACGGAAGGTTTACGTTCTGCTTCATAGATCGGGCACCACGGCGACCCGGCGATTACGCTTCCCGGCAGCACCTGGTGATCCTGGTGCAACCCGGCACGGAGGATCTATCGAACTTGCCGCTGCCCGACCTGGTGCAGTCGGCAGTGGACCAGCTGCCACCGCCGTCGCCCCAGGTGACCGTTTCCGTCCCCAACAGCCCGATGAGAGACGCGACCTTCCAGTTCCCTGAGAGTGGCGCACCGCTGCCGAGCCCAAGGCCACGACCACGAAGACGGCTCGCCTCGGAGAGCTCGGTCCTGGACAAGGGCCCGATAGAGGTGATCTGCAGCAACGGCAGCACCTGCTGCTGCCACCTCGGCCACCAGACTCTCAACGAGAGGCAGTGGGCGAGCGTGGGTGCTAATCTCAGGAACATCGCCGGTGACTTCCACGCGTCCAAGACTAAGGTCAGTGCGAGCTCTCATCGTTATTACACGTTCACACAAGAATCAATCACGCGACACACGTTATTAACATTCGCGAAATAAGGACGTCCTAAATAACGACTCACGGACGTACTTTTAAGCGACGCGCATTTTATCCAAGTAGTTTCTTTCTTCGATTTCTTCGCGAAGTCCCGTCGTTAATTTCACGATAGACAAGCCGACGTTATCATCGCTTTCCTACCCGCTCTTTGACGAGCCGCCACCGCCGCCGCCACCACCGCCGCCACCGCCACTGCCACTGCCACCGCCACCGCCACCGCCACCGCCGCGTTGATGGCATAATACAGGAGCGTTTATGGTGAGAGGAGTACAGGTGTAAACCGCCCGGCATAAAAATTGCAGAGCGCGCGTTCCTCGCACGCACCGGAGCCATCATGTAACTTTTCACTCCACGCGTCGCAATTTCATCTTCCCCATGAAGGCTTTTATTCGTCATAAAGCCACCCTTGCGTCACGGGGTATTATAAAACGTAACGAATACGCACGGGAGAGGAAGAGAGAGAGAGAGAGAGAAAGAGAGGAGAGAGAGAAAGGAAGAGAGAGAAAACATCCGGCGATCGTTGTTTAGTCTGAAAAATTTCGCTCCCCCGCGAGAATACCGCGTTCCTATTGCTTCATTTGCGCATTACACGCAGTCGAAGCGCGATCACGGCTTCAACCCGTCTCCAAACCGTCCAACAAAATTCGAGACAATCCAAAAGAGTCCAAGACCAGCGCCTGCTTGTCGAATTCGTTAATTTTTTTTTTTTTACTACGCTGCCTGCAATACTTTGCGCTGATTCTTTTCTCCACTAAATCTTGACTGTACACCCGTCTTTATTTCAAGTTCCGAAAATGCGCGCTACTTTTTCGAAAACGAACAGGACGCATCTCGCACCTCGAGTGCACCCAGCGAGCCTTCCACGTACCTCTCCGTCCGACCTGATAAATCTTTATCTACTCACCGCGATGGCGGCGCCGTCGACGTGCGAGAATCGATCTCAGGCACCGACGTGGGGTCTCTCTCTCTCTCTCTCTCTCTCACTCGGATCCTCCTCGCGATATCTCGGATTTAATAGCCCCCGCGAGTGATTTAACGCGCCCCGTGCCGGCTCTCTAGGTGTGTTTTCTCCTTAAGAAAGATAGAAACTACCGTCGCGGCGGGAGGGGAGGGCCCATAAACGCGAATTTAGTTATATCAGAGTGCCGGCGCGAGGTCCCGCGGGCGCAATAAATATCGGCTCGCCACCGCCGAGACGTCTAGTATTGCCCCCCGTGTCTATGTCCCCGTGTGCCACTGGCACTTCATCAAAAGCCGCCCCCCGCCTCCCGGCCCCTCTCCTACACCCGCCCTCTTGTAAGCGAAGCGGAGATCGTTCGATCAAATATGTATCGTCGGCTGTGCGGTCCTGCTCCGGGATTTTACGACGGTTCCCGCTCGTGTTTGCGGTCGGAAGAAAGGAAGTGGCGATTGCGCAGAGCGAACGCGCTCGCGGCCCGTCAAACGAGTGGGTTGAGATAAATCGGCGTGATATTTCGAATGTGGAAGCACGCGAGCCGCGTGATGTCGTCATTCTCGAGATTAACGGTGGTGGACGAAGCGGTATTATCGAATCAACTCTGCTCGATTCTCTCGTTCGTTCGCCGCTGTTTCTCAAGAGAACACGAGAGAGAGAGAGAGAGAGAGAGAGAGAGAGAGAGGGGGGGAAGGGGGAGAAGAGAGACGTCCCAACGATTGTCCCCGCGCTTCATTAGAGAGAAATCGAGCCTTTCGCGGATCCGCTCGTCCGAATATCTGCCGGCTGAGGAAAAGATTCGCCAAAAGATTCATTACCAGCGCGGTTTCCTGCCTCCCATCCACCGCGGCAAGATTCCGATTACTTCCTCGACGGTTGGCGGACGGTTGTTCGTTTGATCGAATATATATCGACGTAGGAGAGGAAATTCCCGCCAGGCTCACTCGACGACTCTCGTTTGCCGTCGCGGCTCGGAAGAGAGTGAACGGGCGGCGGGGGAGTGCGAGGGACACTAATAGGAAAAGGAGGAAGAAAAAGGAGGCGGGGGGTGGGGGACGGAAGAGTGAGGATGAACAAGGTGGAAAGGGCGTTTCTCTTTTATTCCGGCTGGCTTTTATCCGCTTTAAAGCTCCGCCGGCGTGATACCCAATCCCGGAACGTCTAATTATTGCTGGTTAAGTGCCGGTAATTGAAGGGGGCGAACAGACCCGTGAAATTGAAGAAATCTCTCTCCGCCTCGGCCGTCCGTAGGAGATCGGTTACCGATCGGAGTGCCTCGGCGGTAACCCGAGGAGCGGAACGCCTGTCGTTGTTAAATACGAATCGCCGAGGATCTCCTCGCCTCGAGAACGGCCTCGCTCGTCGCCTTCGCGCTTTTCTCCTCTTGTTTGCGCGCGCGCGCGCGCCCGCCCGGAGAAATTGAAATGTCAGATTAATACCACGGAGGAGATGCGCAACGGAACGCGCCCGATGCACGGTCGTCTCGTAAAACGCGAGAAAAGAAAAAATCCACGTCGCATCTCGCGTCGCGAGAATCGCGATCGAACTGTCGCGGCGCGTCTCGCTCGCGTCGGACTTGACGCGACACCCTCGGCGCGATGCTTCCCCGCGCACAACAGGTGCGCCATACGTCATCTCCAGCGCGCTCTATTCGCACCTACGAGCTTCGCCCGTGAATGCATCATCGACCGGGGCGGCCGGCCTCTGCCGAGTCTCTGCTTTCCCGAGCTTTCAGAACTGTAAAGAGTGCCGATCTAAGCGTCATTCCTTCCTCTCACCGACCTTTCACGGAAGCGTCACCCGCATCTGGAACCTACCGCTGAAGCTATCGCGCGGCTACCCGAGGGGCAACTCGCGCGCGCGCGCGCGGGATCTGCGCTAATTAATTCAGCGCCACTGCGAGGTGCGAAGTGTGCGCCGACTTTTCACACCGGCGTCTTTTCTTTCTCCCGGCGCGGCGCGGGCGACCGGAGACTATTTCCTCGCCACGCTCCTCTCTCCCTCGCGCTCTTTCTCTCACTGTCGCCCCTTTCCCTGCTCGTCACGGGAAACCACCGACCGCACGGTGCTTTACATATGCATGGAGAGTAAGCGAGCATGTAGCGGCTAAGTGGCCACATCCCCTTACGTGAAAGTTAAGTGGGCATGGCAGCACGAGCCGTGGCCACAGGCCGAGAAAATTATCTTCAATTATCTCATGCAATCGGAGCCCCCCTCCCCCGCCGCCTCCCTCTCCCTCCCACCTCCTCCTACCGCCGTTACTCGCTCCTTCTATCGCGAGCGCGCTCGCGAGCGATTCGCCTATCTTGCTCTTTCGATTAGGACCCCGACCGAGCGCGATCGTCGTCACTTCTAACAAACGCTCTCTCGGTAATCGAATACCCATGCGCGTTCTCGCCACGTTTTCGCTGACCCCCGAGAGCGGGGAGGGTCGCGTCTACCGCTAACCGACGTCTTTATGTAATACAGAATTACGGGTGAGCGGGCGCGCGTTTGCCGTAAAAACGCGCGGAGTAACAACCCGCGGACTCACCTCGCGCCCGGCGTTCTCGCCGGTCGCGAGAGAGAGAGAGAGAGAGAGAGAGAGAGGCCGGGCGGAAAGACTGATCAGCGGCGCTCTCTTCGAGAATTCGGCTGTCCGCGAGACGAGACACGATCGCGTAGACAAGATCTCCGCTGACGGCGGGATCCTCAGAGCGATCCGGATTCAAGCGGCTCTCTCGCTCACGCGCGGCGACGAAGCAGCGCGTGTATCCGCCCCGCCGCGCCGCGCCGCGTCTCGCGCCTGACATTTATCTAGTTGTTTAAACGACCTGACCGACGCGCAAATTGATACATTAGTATAACCTCCTCGCGGTGAGATAACGGATCTCTCGCGATGGCGCAAGTCGGAGCACCGCGGTGGCGGCGCGGCCGCTGAAAGGGCGGGGGGGGGGGGCCCAGCGTCGAGCAAGAAAACCGATATTTCTTCGGTCCGCGGCCGTAGCCGCACGCAAACCGCTTAACTCCTCTCCTTCACGTCTTATTTTCACCTTCGCCTGCCGCGAGACGCACTCCAACGAGCGCTCCTGATACTCCCGCGGGACGCGCGACCTCGCGTAACCTGCGCGCGAATTTGCAACGCTTTGTCACGCGGATGGCGAGCCGAACCGCGCCCCGCCCTCCCCCCCTCCTCCCCCCTCCGACCGGGCCGCGTTTTCTCCGCCTCGCGCGCGAACCGAGAAGTGCCGCGGAGAAAAGTGCGGCGTTTTATTGAAAATGAGAAAATGATTATCATGTTGCGCCGCTTCAGACATTTCGCCCGGCGGCGCTGTTTATCCGATAATTTATATAATATTCCGTACATACGCCGCGCATAGTACATATATAAATGTGTGTGTGTGTGTGTGTGTGTGTGTGTGTGTATACATGTATCAACGAGACGCATACAATAATCCGCTCGATAAGCGGCGGCGAGCTCGCGAAAAATGGTGAAAGTCGCGCGAGAGTAATTTCCGCGATTCGACGATAACGAGTGCTATCTGTCGGTGCGCGCGACTGCCGGTTATCGTCTGCTGATTTGCCGCTTTACCTCCGCCCTCGAATCTTCGATCAGGGGGCGATTGCGATAATTAACGATGATCGAGCGCGCGTGGGATAATAATAACGTAATAACGCGATGCGGCGAGTGAGAAATTTATTCGTCCACAGGAGTCGGGAGCGACTGAACCCTCCGCTGAGAAAAGCGAACGAAAGGTAGAGAGAGAGAGAGAGAGAGAGAGAGAGAGAGAGAGAGAGAGAGAGAGAGAGAGAGAGAGAGCGAGAAAGAGGGAGTGATAAAGATAGATCGCGCGTCTTGTTCGCGACGCACTCTCTCCTTCTCTTTCTCTCTTTCTCTCATTCTCACAACCGCCGGTGCATCCGTATCGCGTCGCATCTCCCGAACGGAGGTCCCCGACGCGGAGAAGAGCGCACGTCGCGGGTCTGCGCACACAAACGAGCGGCGACCGCAACTTCTGTTTTCCATCGGCTTTTTCTTACGTCCGCGGCAAAACCGTAGAGCGCGCCGAGGCGATTGGCCGTTTCCACGGCAAACCGCGCAATTACGTTGCACAATAATCTATCTTGCCAGTAGTCGCGCGGCACGGCACGGCACCGTGCGCTCGTAAGCTCGCCGTTTCTCTCTCTCTCTCATTCGTTTTCGTTCTCTCTATATCGCGCCGCGGCGCGTTCCCGACGGCGGCGGAACGAAGACGGCGATTACGAGGTTCGTTTAATCGCTCGCATCGCGTTCTCCCGCGAAAGCCGTGAGCGTAATTGTTGGCGTTCCTTTTCCTTTTTTCGTCTTGCCGTTTTGCCGGCCGATCGACAATTCGCCAGATCAATCGCCGCGGGCGCGCGCGGCCGAGTATCGCCGAGCGCCGATACACTCGCTCGCTACGACGATTATCTCCCGCCGTTTGGCAAATTGATTTATTTCGGGGAGGGAGAGGGGGGAGGGGGCGAGGGCCACAGGCGCGCACGCGAATATTTTTGTCCCGCTCGCTGATCGCTCGCGCGGGGCTTCTGCTTTTTTCCTCGTCGGCCGGCGAAACGCGGCAACGCGATACATCCCATTTTCCTCCGCGCGCATCGCGTTTTCGCAACGCAAATTGTGGAATCGGTATACGCCGGGCAATCACAGGGAAATTTGCATTTTACGATTCATCCGCTGTGAAGCGCAGTGACGCGAGCGCGTCAACGATCATCGTGTGTCGTCTCTTTTCTACGCTTTTGCTTTCTAATCCGTTTCTCAACATGCTCGACACGATGTTGTGTTTCGTTGTCGTTAACAACTCCTCGTTTCCTCCCCTTATCGAAAAGCGAAAGTTCGATACGCGCGTCGATCTTGACGATGTCCATTCCCTTTCTGTCAACGATGCGAGTGTGTCGTCGCGTATCCTTCGCGAAAAAGAGAAGGAAATAATACAGACAATTCGGAGACTCGAGTTTCGCCGCTCTCACACGCCGACGAGCAGGTATAGATGTTGCTCAAGCAGGCGTTTTCCGCCGCGCCATGGAGCAATAAAATATCTCGCCGATATCTCCCCCCTTTTCCCTCTCCTCCTCCCGTTCTTCGCGGCTTTTCATATGCGTCGAGGCACGTCGAGAGAGACGCAAAGTCATAGAGAAAGTCCATCTCGCGGCCGGTTACAAACGCGCAGGTGGCCGATCGCCAGTCGCACGTGAAACATTAACGAACGAAGATCGTGTGATCCGCCTCTCTCCTCTTAGCTCCCCTCGGCTTTCCCTTTGCGGGGAAAACTCGCCCTGCGAATTCGACAAGTAATTCTGCGGCGCGAAGGGACACTATTAATTGACGAGCGGAACTCCCACGGGCGCTCCCTCCCTCAGCCCTCCCATATAATTCTCTCTTAATGTGACGTTTTCGTCTACTTGTCTTATACTCCTCCCCCGCCCCTCGCGCTCTCGTCCGAAATAATCTCTCCTCTCGCGCCTGTATATACGCGCCGACGAATCGAATGTTTTTCCCGCGCGTGATTGCGAGAGAGCGTGCACTCCCTCTTCCTGGGGAAGTCGCGTGTGTGTTCTGGTCTCTCTCTCTCTCTCTCCCCCTCTCTCTTTCTCTTTCTGTCTTTCTCACGCACTCTCCCTTCGGGGGTTCGAACACTGACCAGATATTATGGTCGTCCCATAAAAGCTCGCCGCCTGGCCGGCGATTGGGCTTTCCCCGGGCGTTTATTATTGCGCGTCCGGTCACGCCGAGTGGATTAAGACGAGACGAGAATCGGAAGTCGCGGGATCGAGTCGAGATAACGCCGGCGGGCGGGGGCGGGCAGGGGCGGACGGCATACGGGAGAAACAAAAGGAACCCTCCGGAGTTAATCGTCCCGTGTTACGGGAGATCGTTTTTTCTCGCGCGAGATTATTACCAGCGCTGATCGAGAGCCGCGATAATTTTCTGGGACTTTGACTGGGTCGACGTAATGGATGTTTCACGTGCTCATTATTTCCCGATTTTTGCGGAGTGAGATATACTCAAGCACATATTGCAGAGAACGTATATGTTTCCAAAGGCATTCCGCGAAATATCTTCTTAGTCGACTGCGCGAAAACTGACGCGTAAAACTGAACTGAGCATTTCGAAGAACAAGATTCTCATTGATATCGCGAATGAAACTTCCCGGCGAATCGAAGACAAAAAGGTTAGCGATCCGAGTCGAAATTTTCATTCCACATTGACCCTGCAAGTTGCGTCGAACTTGAAGAGTCAATGAAGAATATAGTACTATATTTCCTACCTTGATACCGCAAATCGTTGTCTGCCGCCATTTTCCCCATGTCGAAGATGCTCGAAGATGTTGAAGAAGCTCGAAGAAGTATTCGTTCAAGGATTATTTAATGTTTGGTCATCTGAAAATATTTAAGATTTATATTAATATATTAAAATTAAGATTTATATCTATTCTTAACTTCAGTTGGTAATATTAATTGTTATTAATTAAATAATTGTTATTAAAAGTTATTAATTATACAATTCGCTTCGCAGCGAATAGAGAATGTAAGATGAACAATCATTAAACAATCAGATAAGAATTAAAGAAGGAATGAAGAGAAAATATAACACATTTTATTCTCATCTCTTTCGGATTCTTATTTCTTTTTCCTTTTTTTTCTTTTTTTTTCTTTTCTTCCTCTCTCTCTCTATCTTTCTTCTTTTTTTAATTTGAAAGATTTAGTGAGAATAGAAGCTCTGAAAGGAGCTAATTGGAAGCTGTAAAGAAAAAGATAACAGTTATGTGTCTAATAATGCTGTTTGTACATTTATGTATGAGAAACTAGCTTTGGATTTCGTACAAAGCAAGAAGCCAAGCGAAGAAATCTGAAATCTTTTTCGATCGAACTCTGCTTGGCTGCATCTCGTGTTAGCTAACACATTCGTCGACCTGATTTTGTCTGTGTGACTGTCAATGTCACGAGCTAATGTCATGATGATGCAGCCAAGAGCGAGAAGTTAAACAACGGACGCAAAATGCAAGGACATAGGCGGCGATTGCATATTTTTAAATATATAAATACGCGTTTTATATACTCATACACTGCCAGTGCCAATAAATAAGCAAATAATAAGAAGAAACAAAATGTGAAGAAACAAAACTTCTTGTATCCATTAATTTGGTTTTTATCTATATTAGCTTTTAATAAATTATTTAATATTTGGTAGTTGTATATATATATATATATATATATTCCATTTGCTGTCCTAAAGAAATCACACGCGATTGACACTTTGTTGATTGAAATGAAAAATAAAGATTATAAATGTGCGGAGATGGAGAGAGAAAATATTGAAAGATTCAACGTAGACCGAATGGCATTGGGCGAATCGTTTGTAGTCTGTACAAGACCCTTCAAGCGCGACGGAATATCGCAGGACGAATATAGGACGAAAATAGGATGAAATTGCATCTTGACTCGAGGAAAGAGAGCGCCGTCGCATTTGCGTCTCTCGAAGGCGAGTTCCTCTCGCAAGCAGCGGCTAATGCGCCGAATCTCATTACACCTCGGATTCACATCCGAGGTAGCGCGAGTTAATTGGGTAATAAGTATCGTTCGTAAGTAGCGTTCCTAACGGAATTTCTTGTTGCGCGCGAACGTTTCGCGCGATTTCCCGGCACAAAGCAGCTCGCCGCCGCGGCACGGCCGACAACACCCGACAACACCGGTAGCCTGCCGGCATCGGCGGCCGGCGCAGCGAAATGGAAGTTAATTGGGTAATTAGTGTCGTTAATAAGCAGACTTTAATTGAACTTTTTCTCCTCTCCTCCTCGCTTCTTTTCGTCGTCGTAGCGAGTGGTTTGCGCGCGGGCTCCTAAAGGAGACGGGGGGAACTAACTACCCCGGCCGTCGCTAGACATTGTAGACTTTAGCGACGCGATTTTTTCCCCTCTACGACGACGACGACGTCGTCGTCGTCGTCGTCGGTCGTCTCCTCCCCGTGTAAAGTCGCAGGGATAAGGGGAACTCGATAAAACGACTGTGCCGCTTTTTCCTCCTTTTTTCTTCTTCCTCACCGAAGAGAGTTAGCCGCGAACGAGGAGGAGAGAGGGAGAGAGAGAGAGAGAGAGTGCCGGATCGTCGGTAATTCCGTCCAATTAGGACACTCCCAATTAGGAAACCCCTTAACCCTGCGCCCACCGGCGTTTCGACCCCGTAAGGCTCCCCCGGCCACCCCGGAAGCACCGAGAAGGACTTACGACAGGTCGCCTTGGCCGAATCTTCGCGAGAGTATCGGAGAAACTTTGTTCGCTCACCGAGTTTGATTCTCCCGACCGTTCTCCGCTTTCGCCGGGACGTTTTAACGGTACCGCGGCTTAAGTGCTCGTTCCGACCGCTGCCTATTACGAGTTCATTTCACTCGATCCCCGGTGCTTTATATTTCGACGCGCGACTTCACCGTGTCGCAGACGGAACGAACGTCCGTTCTACCACGCGAACGCGAATCTGTATTCGCACCTAGGCAGCACTCACGAATATCGCGAAACCACATACACACACACACACACACACACACACACAGACACATACCTACGATTGTACAATGTTTTCGAGAGCAAAAGATCACACTGTCGACAAAGTTAGCGACACTCACATCAGAATTTCGGCAATCAAGAGAATATCCGGTACTGAACGGGCGGCGTCGCTGCCTTGTTTCTTTTTGCAGGACGCCGAGATCGAGAAGGCGCGGCTGCCAGTGATCGGCTCGGGCTTGTCGAGCGGTCGCAACAGCAACTCGTCGTCCACCGACAGCCTGCTGTCACTGCTGATCCCGGCACCGTTGCGCGAGACCCTCTGGGCAACGGTGGCCTTGTATCTCGGCTGGAGACTCGTCTCCCGCCTACGATAGACGCGCCGGTCTCGCCCAGCCGTCGTCCTGGATGACACCGGCGGTCCTGCGGCCCGGTCAAGCGGTCGCGTCGGCACCCGGTGTCCGCAGTACGGCGTTTGGAAACTGTTAGAGGCGGCGGACCGCACGGACCGTCAGTGAAACCACCGACTCTTTCACGTGGTGGCGATCCACGGTCCAGCGGTATTGCGGAATCCTCGATCGGACGCCTCGTCGGACGTCGTCGAGAGGAGGGTGAGATCCACAGGCCGGGTCTCTCTTCGTGATCGAACGACGGATTTCATCGAGACATAGAGGTAGAAAAAGAGAGCGAGAGAGAGAGAGAGAGAGAAAGAGAGAGAGCGAGAGCGAGAGCGAGAGCGTTGAGAATCCACGAACCGTCTCTCGTTCGAGCAGCCGCGAGAACTCGGATTGTATTTTGTATAACCGTTTTTTGTATCGTGGCGCGGCTCGTCCGCCAGCCGCCGCGAGAATGCGCTCGGTCGACTTTGATCGGTTCCCGAGGGACTGTCCGATTGCTTGATGTGAAGGAAGGAAAGATTATTCCAAGATAGAGAGTATCGAAGCGTTAAAACCGCGATGACGAAAATGGCGCGATGACCCGCGCGATTAATGATTCTTTGATGAGCCGGATGATTCGACGAGTCCAAAATTGCTGAATGTGTTCCCTCGGAACGCGGGTGACTTTGTGGAATTCATATGAAAGAAAAAAAAAAACAACAGGTTTCCATTACAAAAAAAAAAGATTGTTAAAAAGGATCAAGGAATATGTTTAAAGATATAAAAGAAATTTTTCTCTCCCGTTACCCGTTTCGCGATCAACGCTCATGATTCGTCGATTCGTCGTGCGCTACGAAACAAGTTCCGACTGTGATCGTCGATGCGGATGACGAAGCAAAGGTAGGTAGCGACGACGACGACGGCGACGTCGAGGTCCACCGGATGCATTCTCGCGGGCGCGCGGGCGGCGGACGGGCAGGCAGGGATTACTTCGGACGCGTAGCGTTGGTGCCGACAGTTCGCCCCGCGAATGATTTCATGTAATGCGACGTAGATGGACGTCGGAGGACGGGGTTGTAGTTTCGGGGGTGACAATCCCCGGCGACGGGGAAGGGGGAGGGGACGGAAGTAACCGAATTGCGTATTACGCGGCGATCGGACCGAGACACGAGGAGGAAGAGGTATTATATTTAGAGGTGACGGGGGGAGCTAAGGACGAGATCCAAAGAGGATTAAACCCAATAATCAAATGATGATCTCATTACGGATAAATAAAGAGAATTAAATAAAGTAGTGTGATTACGGGAACGAGAGAAGGGCGGACCACCCACGCAGGCCCCTTTTATCCTCCGTCTTCTCTTCGCGCGTCCGTCCCTCTCTTGGTCTCGCTGATAGAGAAAGGGAGAGAAAGAGAGAGATTCTTCGGTGTGAGCGGTTTGTTGTAGATAACGCGACCTCTCTTCCGGCCGACACCATCGGCGTGTTCGGCCGATTCTCGAGCGAGATTCTTTTTTTTTTTTTCTTTTTTAATGACGTCACGCCGCGTGACGTTTCGCGAGGTACGCTTTCGTCGGTGAGGCACTTGCTTGGGGAGAGATCGAGAGGACAGAGAAATAGGGAGAGAGAAAGAGAGACGACGAAGAGCATCCTCCGCGAAAGACCTCGAGAGAGACGCCTTCGACGATACCGCGCTGGAGAGAAATGGGACTCGATGAGGGAGCGCGCGGAGTTATCACTAGACGGTCGATCGGACCTCGCAAGATGTCGTTACGGTGCCGACGGAATGTATGTACATATATATAAAGGAAGAAAGAGGGAGACGTCGAGAGAGGGGTGTGACGTGAATTCCAAAAATGTTGAGAAATGATAGAAGGAGAGAGACGAGCGAGGACGCGTAAGGTGGAGGCAGACAGAGGAGCAACCTGCGAGTTCGTTCGTGCGTGCGTGCGTGCGTGCGTGCATGTGTGTGTATGTATGTGCGTGTACGTGTGTGTGTGTGTGTGTGTGTGTGTGTGTGTATGTTTGTGCATGTGCGTATGCGTGTTTATAGAGGATTTATCTAAAGTAATCACGCGAGCACTCAGTAATAAGTCGACGTGTTAATAGTTAAAGTAGATAATCGATAGGCCGAGGATCGCGGCATCTTAATTGGCTAGCTGCGAGTCCCGTGGACAGTTTTCAAATGATCTCCGGTAGCTTAGCTATTAGTGGCGGCCCTGGTCGCATGCAGGACGCCTTTCGCGGCACATCGGAAGGAGCAGCTCCCTCTTTCCCCTGTGTCCTTTCTTAATAACTTGTCTATATTTCTCTTCACTCTTCTTTCCACCCTTCTGCCTCTCGTTTTTCCCGCCTGTCTGCGAATTGTTTCTCGACTCATTCGCTCACTCACTCACTCACTCACTCACTCCCTCGCTCACTTACTAACTCATTCACTCTCTTTTCCCCTCCCTCCTCTCCCTTCCTCTCACTCCCCCCTCCCCCTTTCTCTCTCTCTCTCTCTCTCTCTCTCTACTCGCTACTTTCGCTCTTCCGCGCGGTTCCCTCCGCTTCGCAATTCTGCTTCGCATTTACCGACGACGTCGACGGTACTTAGCCGTCGCTCTGTTTGCGCGCGTCCTAATGTAATTTTCGATCTCGAACTTGGCGCGGATCTCAGCCGGTGTTCGGTCATCTCGCTGTTTTTTTCACGTTCGCTCGCGCGATCTAGAGAGTCTCAATTCTCGCGAGCGAACGGAATCACTTTCCTCGTTCCGCGAGTTTTCTTCGAGGTTGCCTGCAGTGCTGAAACGGTAGACCAGAGAGGCTGATTTGGTGAGCGAGGAGATGCGAAACGTGTGTTTTCGGGTTTTCTCGCTTGGCCACACAGACTGAGATCAAAACTATCGAGGCTTCTGTGTTCTGTGCACGCACTCGTCCCCTGCGAGCCGCGCTTACTCTTCGCCCCGATTGCAATCTATCGCCTTTTCCCTTTTTATCTCCTTATTGATAGGATCGTGACGTTGTCCGTCGAGGTATTCCAGTGTGTAAGACTATAGTATTTATTTATAGGCGATACACATACACACACACACACACACACACATACATACATACAGATTTTTGCCCCTACCGCCTCGTAGGGCCGCGTCTCGAGGTAAATGCACGCGTGAGATATATCGACGTCACCTGAAGATAAGCGATTCCTCGCCAGACGTTTCCGCGGGAGCGGCTTTTTGGAGAGTCAATAAACGTTCGTGTAACGCGTAAAAGCAATCTCTAAAGAAGCGAGTAAGTAGTGTCATGAAGAGAGAGAGAGAGAGAGAGAGAGAGAGAGAGAGAGAGAGAGAGAGAGAGAGAGAGATTTGAAGGATTACGAGACCGTTCAAGGGGCGAATCGCCGGCGTTTTGCGCCGTTCTGATCTCGACACGAATTTTTAGAATCTTGGTACTTTTCATCGTGTATCGCTACATTCTGTCGTGTTTCTCGCGAGTCACCGCTCATTGTCGGGAACTCAGATCTATTCCCGCGGGTCATACGGATCACCCGGTCGGATCCGGCGCAATTGCTTTCGAATGCGCCGCTGTTTAGCGAAATTAATCTCGAGGGATCGGAAACACACTTTGTGCCATTTCAATTTTGAGCGGGGATTTTCGCAAACACGCGAGGAGTAAAATTCAATTCGAGTGTTAGTCGCGTAAGGAAATGTCGCGTCGGCATAAAAGGCACCGTGATTCGGAAACGCACGTTCCGTCGTGAGATTCTAATTCCGTCAAGGAGTATTCGCAATTTCGCGGCAATTTGTCTCCCGAAATCGGCACAAATCAAAATTACCAATCGGAGGTGTCTCGCGCCGATCAAGAGGGCTCGCATGAGCTGTTTGGAATCGTTGACAGCGCCGTATCGCGGCAAAGGAGAGCACGTGATGGATCCGGGTCCGGCGCGGCGTTCCGTTCCCGCCATTAGAATCTCCGATGTAATTCGGATCGAGTTCCCTCTGTGCCGCTTGCTCCTTTCACGGAGAGAGCACGCAATGGTACAAGATTATCGTGTGTATACATATTGATATGATAAGTAGTGTTCGTTTGTCGTCTGTCGCAGGGAGGGCCACGAGAATTGAGAAAAGGAGCTCTTTCTCTCGTGGTGGTTGTTGCATTCCGACCAAAGGGACAATTCCCGTTTTCCTGCAGCGAGTCGGCCTAAAAAGGGTCGCAGCCACGCATTTAATCCTTTTACTCCGTAGATAGGGAAAAAGGCACAGCGAATTCGCGAGCCCCCACTCCCCCTACCCTCGCCGTTTGGCCTCCTTGGCGAGAGGGGAAGAAACTGACGAAGAAAGAGACAAGGAATAAATAAATATATATATATACATATATATATATGTATATATATATATATATATGTGAATGTGTATGTACGTCGGAGGAAAATTGAAAGTGAGAAAACAAGGCGCATGTACATAGCTGCTTATTTCGGGGCCGTAAACGCACTAACGGACTGCTGTTTCTTTTCCGGTTCTCCACTTCTTTTTTTGTTTTTTAACTTCTCCGTTTCTTTTCTCTTCGGTTTAATTACCAATTAGAAACGGTAAACTCTTAGGTAGTAGTCAGCCATATTGAAAATATAGTAATTATATATGGATAAACACATATAAATATAAAATTATATCTATATAACGCAAGACGCGTGTATATATATATATATATATATGTGTGTGTATATATATATATACACAAAAGAAGTATATATATATTTTAAATGGTATATATTTGGGGATAATCGAAATATTGTGTTTCTCTCGAGAGATGATAATCCATTTCGTGTATGTGTGCGTGTGCGCGCGCGCGTGTGTGTGGTGTATGTGTGACGTGTGAGTGTACGTGCGTGCGTGCGTGCGTGCGTGCGTGTGTGTGTGTGTGTGTATGTGTGTGTGTGTGCGTGCGTGCGTGCGTGTGTGTGTGTGTGTGTGTGTGTGTGCGCGTGCGTGCGTGCGCGGACAGAGTCGTATATTTCGATGGGGCTCGAACCCCGAGAGAAAGTACAGCGGGAAGGTGATGTTTATGGTGGAGGTGGAGAAACGGCGGTTCTTCGAGATCGATGGAGGTCGAAGAACATAGGTCCAAGGTGAGAAATAAGCTGTAACTGTGACTATGTGGATCGTGGGGGGCAGGCTGTCGATTTGCCTCACTTGTCGAGGGCAACATAAATAAATAAAGATAAATTTCCGCGCGCTCCTCAACACAATGGCGGACGGGGAAGAGAAGTTACGCGACAAGCTGCATGTATTCCACGAGAGAGCCGGTCTCTTCGCGTTGCTGGAATCTAAAGATCCTGCGCGACAGACGCGCGACGCCCCTCCTCGCCCTATCGAGCCTAGTAACGAGATGAAAACCAAAAGAGAAAAGAAAAGAAAAAGAAAAAATACAGCGGCAGAACCGAAAGCAACGGAACCAGCGGCAGAGACAGCCCGCCCACCCGAGATCCCCGCGCGTCAAAGCGTCACTGTGATCTCGTAATTATTAATAAAATATCCGACTATTATAACGAATAATAATTATACGAATACTATATACTATTACCCCTTTTGCCCTCCTCCCCTCCCTTCTTACGAGCAAGAGAAAAGAAAGTCCCCCTTGGAGACATGATCTGACGTACTCTTCGTTGCCGAAGTTGCGGAATTACAGTTTCGCGTCTGTCTCTCTCACCGGATTTCTTTCGTCTCGTCTTTCGTTCTGCGTCTCTACGCTCCTGCTCTTTACTTTCCACTTCTTCACTTTACTCTCCCTCCTTAATCCTCCTCTCTCGTAATATACGTGTTCGTGAGCGCGTGCACGCGCGCATCCTAGTTCGTAATCGTAACGTTAATAATATTATCTCATTAAAGAATCTTTCACATGATCTCCCGGAGATATCGATTGTACGTCAGGCGAATTCAATGCCCGATGCCGTTCGCTTCCGCCCGTCCGCGCGCACGAGCAGTCGTCTCGTCTCTCCTCCTGTCGTCTCTCGTTCTCGAATTTCCTTTCGAGTTTCGTTTCTGTTTTTCTTTTCTCTACTCGGCGCTCAGCACGGTCCGCCAGAACGGACGGTATCGAAGCTCGATTGGCCGTAAATCTCAGTTACACAAAGTATAGAATTATAAAGCAATTAGAGAGACGGAGAGAGAGAGAGAGAGAGAGAGAGAGAGAGAGAGAGAGAGAGAGAAACATTATTCAGAAGAGAAGACGAGGGATAACGACGTTGTTGTAGCGATCTTACTCGGATAGATAGGTTTATAACAACGAAAACTGTTTATCGCTGCGTTCGCACTCATTAATCATCTACGACGTACTATTACGATCACCGATCGTTATTATTATTCATGATTATTATTTTTATTTTTTATTATCATATTATTAGTTAGTATATACTCGTTGCGCGCATAAAGTGTAAAGGCTCGAGTTCTTAAACTCCCCGGCGCTGTAAAGAGATAATCGACTAGTCTTATCGGACCAACCATTGAGATTCGTGTATTTTTGTTTAACGACGCGTATTTTCTATAAGATCGAGATTTCCCCTTCTACATATATAATAATACATACATATTATATATATATATATATAGATATCTATACACACACACATATATATATATTTACAAATATATATATATATATATTTTTTGTTTTTTAAATAATCGATTAGTCCCCCCTCCTTTCTCCTTAGAGGCGCTTTTCTCTCGCCTCTTCTGTAACCGCGATCCCGAGGTGTCAAACATTCGAGCTGCATATCGGGGGTCGACGCTCCGTCGAATTCGCGCTCTCGTCCACTTTTTTCTCACCACAGGATTCCCCTACAGGAGGACATCGCTCGGTGTGTGCACGAGCGAGCGAACGACGGAGCCGGCGCGTCGCGCCCTCGATCGAAAGACGCTCGTCATTGTAACACCACTTCTACCAGTAATAAATTATTGTAGTACGCCGTAACGCGCACAGGAGATACTTGATCTTTCCAGCAGT